GATCGAATACGTATGATAATCAACGGTTAATAATTTAATGCTCAATGAGCGCTGGCAGTATGTGATAAAAAAAATTAGAAAAAAACAAAATATTTTATTTTTTAGCAAATGAAACTGCTAGTATGGCAGTCTGAGCAAGTCACCTGGTTGAATACATCACTCTGGATCGAAGATCTATGATAATCAACGGTAAATAATTTAGTGCTCAATGAGTGCTGCCAGTATGTGATAAAACATTCGGATTTTTTATTTTTTATTAATAAAAACTGCTAGTTTGACAGTCAGAGCAAGTGACAGAGTTGAATACATCACTCTGGATCGAAGATTTATGATAGTCAATGGTTAATAATTTAGTGCTCAATGAGTGCTGCCAGTATGTGATAAAAAATAACGAAATTTTAATTTTTTTAAATTTTTATCAATATAAACTGCTAGTATGACAGTCTGAGCAAGTGACAGGGTTGAATACATCACTCTGGATCGAAGATCTATGATAATCAACGGTTAATAATTTAGTGCTCAATGAGTGCTGCCAGTATTTGATAAAAAATTAGGATTTTTTTTTTAATTTTTATCAATATAAACTGCTAGTATGACAGTCTGAGCAAGTGGCCGGGTTGAATACATCACTCTGGATCGAAGATCTATGATAATCAACGGTTAATAATTTAGTGCTCAATGAGTGCTCTGTATAGAGTGATGTATTCAACCCTCTCACTTTCTCAGACTGTCATACTAGCAGTTTATATTGATAAAAAATTAAAATTTCGTTATTTTTTATCACATACTGGCAGCACTCATTAAGAACTAAATTATTAACCGTTGACTATCATAAATCTTCGATCCAGAGTGATGTATTCAACCCGGTCACTTGCTCAGACTGTCATACTAGCAGTTTATATAAATAAGAAATTAAAAAAAATAAAATTTCCTAATTTTTTATCACATTCTGTTAGCACTCATTGAGCACTAAATCATTAACCGTTGATTATCATAGATCTTCGATCCAGAGTGATGTATTCAACCCGGTGACTTGCTCAGACTGCCATACTAGCAGTTTCATTTGCTAAAAAATAAAATATTTTGTTTTTTTCTATTTTTTTTTATCACATACTGGCAACACTCATTGAGCACTAAATTATTAACCGTTGATTATCATAGATCTTCGATCCAGAGTGATGTATTCAACCCGTTTACTTGCTCAGACTGTCATACTAGCAGTTTATTTTGATAAAAAAATTAAAAAATCCAAATGTTTTGTCACATACTGGCAGCACTCAATGAGCACTAAATTATTAACCGTTGACTATCATAAATCTTCGATTCTGAGCGATGTATTCAACCCAGTCACTTGCTCAGACTGTCATACTAGCAGTTTATATTGATAAAAAATTTTAAAAATTAAAATTTCGTTATTTTTTATCACATACTAGCAGCACTCATTGAGCACTAAATTATTAACCGTTGATTATCATAGATCTTCGATCCAGAGTGATGTATTCAACCCTGTCACTTGCTCAGACTGTCATACTAGCAGTTTATATTGATAAAAAATTTAAAAAATTAAAATTTCGTTATTTTTTATCACATACTGGCAGCACTCATTGAGCACTAAATTATTAACCGTTGACTATCATAAATCTTCGATCCAGAGTGATGTATTCAACCCTGTCACTTGCTCAGACTGTCGTACTAGCAGTTTATATTGATAAAAAATTTAAAAAAATAATATTTCCTAATTTTTTATCACATACTGGCAGCACTCATTGAGCACTAAATTATTAACCGTTGATTATCATAGATCTTCGATCCAGAGTGATGTATTCAACCCAGTCACTTGCTCAGACTGTCATACTAGCAGTTTTTATTGATAAAAAATAAAATATTTTTTATTTTCCAAAATTTTCATCGGATACTGCCAGCACTCATTAAGCACTAAATTCCCTATGCATTGCTTTAGTTCTATACCGCGTTAATATAGGCGTTTCAGGGAATACACTGCTAGCTTAATTAAAAGCTGGCAGTGTTCTAATTTTTCGCTAAACTATGAAAGCATTAAATTTCCGGTTTTGGCACTAAATTAGCACTAAATAAGCACTAATTGATGCACTTTATTTTAAACGATTCTGCTCACTTTGCCATGCTAGCTTAACAGACGTAAACTTCAACTATTTATACAAAGGAAATAAACATTATTACGTTATTAGTAGACTATTGTGGAAGAACAACAGAAGCTAATAAGGAATAAACGTGGAAACAAGGAACTCTAATCCATTAAACTAGTTAATGAATAAAGACCAGAAATAAAGTATTAAGGATCTCCAAAAGTTTATAAGTCTTTTAATAATAAAACGTATAAGACTTGGAAATTTAAAAACAAAAGGTTATCTATATAAAATCCTCAAAAATATGAGATCTTATAAAAATAAGAAGATCCAAAACAAACTAAGATAAGCTAAGATCCTATGATGCTAGAAGCAAAATCAAATTCTTCAAAAAAAAGTTAAAACATCTAATTGCCAGATAGAATATTATTAAATTAATTTAATTACCAAAACATGCCTAATAAAATGATACCAATTTAATTTTTTTTAAAACTGAGTTTCTATTTCTTCGTTTCAGGAACACTCATACATCACCATTCAATATACCCGCAACCTTTTATTCATCCCTCATTCATCACCTTGCAAGAGGGTCGTTTCCAAAACGCAAGTGAAAAGAACCAAAGTGAAATTTAGAAAGTTAAAACTGTAAATGTCAACTATCAAAATGAACAAAATGTCTAATTATCTAAGTTATATCTTCAAAATATCTTTAATGTGGTATCTACCAGAACTATTTTTATCAAAATCTTTTAATAAATAAACATTATTTGAAATTTTGTCAATTATATTGCATTTAACAAATTTGGGTGCTAACTTTGAAGAAAAGAAATGAATTGCGTTGGATTGTACAAAATTTCTCCTCCATACAATATCTCCAACGTCATAGGAAATGACTTTTCGATTCGAATTATAAAATTTAGCATTCTTTTTATAAGATTTTGCTAAATTATCAACAACTTTAATAAAAATATCTTTAAGTGAATCTAACAAATTACCATAACCGTCAGGTTTCTCAATATTAACATCAAACAAGTCATCTATGCAAGGACCCATTCAACACGACTTCACGACCGAACATAAGAAAGTTTGGAGTAAAACCAGTAACTAAATTAACAGTACTATTAATAGCACTTTGAACATGGGGAATAAACTTAGACCATGTTCTATGATCATTTGCAACATAACATGAAATACAGGTTTCTATTGTCTTATTGAATCTCTCTACAGGATTATTCTGAGGAGTGTAAAGGGTATTATAAAATATTTTTGGAATATTATAACCTTTTATAAAATCTACAAATATATTTGAAGTGAATTGTGTACCGTTATTGCATATAATAATTTTTGGACAACCAAATTTTAAGAATATTTCATGTTCTAAATTTTTAACTATAACTTGGGAAGTAGCATTTCTCAAAGGAAATATCCAACAAAATTTTGTGAAAACATCTACTACTGACAAAATGAAATTATGTCCAGAATAAGATCGCGGCAATGGACCAATTAAATCCATTGACAGCATTGTCATAGGACGATCTACTAATTTAGGATAACTCATTATTCCTAAAGGAGGTGAGTTTGAATGCTTATAAGCTTTACAAGTTTCACATTTACGTATATAATCTCTAACATCTTTAAACATTTTAGGCCAAAAGTAATGAATTTTAAGTTTCTCAATAGTTTTGTGAATTCCGAAATGACCTGAATTTATATTATCGTGATTATCACGAATAGTATTCAATACTTCTTCACGAGGTATAACAATTTTCCAAGCTAAATTTTGAGATAAATTATGTTTAGGTTTAACAAATTTATAAAGAACATTATTTTCATCTACTTTAAAAGTTTTAAATTTCGAAGGATATTTTTTGACAATTCTGAAACATTTTCCTATACCATGGATCATGAATTTCATCCGGTACTTGAGTAATAGCAGCAATTTCAACTCTAGATAAAGCATCAGGCACAGTATGACAACTACCTTTTTTATGAATTATTTTAAAATTATATTGAGATAACTGAGTAGCCCACCGAGCGAGTCTACCAGAAGGGTTAGCTAAATTTTTCAACCATTTTAAGCTTGCATGATCGGTCACAACTGAAAACTCAGTTCCTTCAATGTAAGGTCTGAAATGTTCTATAGATAAAAGTACAGCTAATAATTCTCTTTCTGTAACACTATAATTTTGTTCACATTTTTGTTCACATTCACGTTCACGTTGCAAGACAAAGCACTTCTCTAATGGGAAGCCCTAAGACAATAGTAGAGGCCTGCAGCAACATTTGGTGACTGCTGAGCTTTCTGGAGGAGCTGGGATGGCAGGACTGATGACAATCCCCACGCAAAATAGGCACTGGGTGTCGAGTTGCGGAAACCGCCTGCCGTACTACTAAGACTAAGACTCTACTTTTGATAGATAGTTTGATGTGATTGATAGGTATCTTTTATAATTTCATTGATCCAGGTTCTTGAGATTAAAAAAAACTAAAGTAAACGCGGACAAAGTCACAGGCCGCCGCTAGTGTAAAATAAAAACAAAACTTAGAGCAGTATTTTTTTTTCTAAATAAGTTTATTTTTTTAAAGAAATTCTTTGATAATTTTGTTTTACTAAGGAATGTATGTCATATTGCTATTGAAAAAGTAACATTCTTTAAATACTGTTATTATTATTCCATATTTCAAGTCACAGGCCGCCGCTAGTGTAAAATAAAAACAAAACTAAGGGCAGTATTTTTTTTTTCTAAATAAGTTTATTTTTAATACGTGTTTTTTCACAATATAAAAAAACAGTTTTTGCACCTTTTGCCTACGTAAAGTATAGGCCTCACAAGTACTTAGTTGAAATTCAAAAACGTAAAGTTGGCTAATACATTATGCAACAAAAGTTCATACCTGCCAGAAGAAGAAGAGGAGGAACTACCATCAGATGACGAGGAAGAAATACTGGACGAACTCGAACTCCGAGAAGAGGATGTACTAGACACCACTTTCTTTTTTTCTTTACGCATGTCTTTCCCACAGTCCATTTTCAACTGCAATTCTAATTCCCGTTGCAATTGCAATCTTCGTTTTTCAAGTACGTCAGTATCCGCATATTCTAGGTCATTTTGGTCCCAATTGTCAATTTCGCCATCGGGACTGCGACCCGAACGCACTACCACAGTTGAATGAAGTCTATTTTTTCCATCGTCTTTCACTAAACGCTTTTGCTCACTGTCTTTATTCGCTGCCCGTTGCTTAGATGGACTAATCAATGTATGAGTTGCGGCAAATTTACAACTTTTACCGTAAGCGCAACTACCGTGTTGAGCCCACTGTCTACAATGTTCAGTTGTTTTTTTTACACTTGAAGCTTTCTTGGTACCGAGGCGCTCAAAAACACTAGGTCTGTTTGCTAGATCTTTTGTTTTGGGCAACTCAACAGTGATTTTTCTTTTTCCTTGTTTTGACATTATAAACGGAAAACATTGGTCTCACGAAATAAATCTGTTTGCAAAATAAAACTCCACCGGCACTTCGTCCGCCATTGTTGTTTTGTTACCATAGACATTTTTTTTTTGGTTTGTTTTTCCCTGCTCAGGGAAGGCAAGGGGATCTAAGCCCATACAGCCATGGTCATCAGAGGTTATAATTCTCTATTAAATTAACTTATAACTTTTGGTTTCTTCGACTATCTTCAACAAATCTAAGACATCTTCTTTTCTTCAAGCATTGAGTAACCATAGTTGTTGCTTATTCTTTGTTTCTTTTTTTTTCTGACTGCTTCTTTTTTTTTTTTTTTTTTTTTCAGCTGGCAGTGAGTTATTTTATTATATGAATTGGGGAGCTAAGGGTGCAGTTCAAATATCACCAATGGATGAAACAATAAAATTGTAAATAGGTTTAAAGCATCCTGGATTACTTAATAAAGTTTGAATGGAGCGCGGGATTGCATCAGGGTTTTTATAGATTTCTAATAGGGAATTTATAAACGTTAATCTTTGGATATTAAAGTAAGCACAATCAAAAAATATGTGGTGAAGTGTTTGATCTTGGTTAACGTTACAAAAATTACAGACTGGCGAGGGTAAAAGGTTTATTCTATTTAAATGGGAGTTGAAGCGACAGCGACCGAATCTCAAACGACAGATGATAGTGTAATATTTTCGTCCGAAATAGGAGGAGCTCCTAGCAAACCATGGTCTGGAAATTTTTTTGTTTATATCCGAGTACCATTTTCCTTTATTTTGAGTAATCTCTTGCCAAAGGAGTTGAAATTCTCTAACTAAATCTCTTTTTACCGGTATCAGAATATCAGAATCAGGAAGAGGAATGTTTGTAATTGGAAGTGAAATGGGACAGTTAACAATAGTTCTTGCTAAATAATCTGCGTCCTCATTGCCCTTAACGCCTATATGTGATGGGGTCCAAACAAAAATTATATCAAAATGTTTTAATTTCAATTGATAGTATTTCTCGCGTATATTATAAAGAATATAATTAGACGACGTAGAAAATCTAGGGTTTTCTAATGCTTTTAGTGCACTCATACTGTCAGATATGATAAGCCATTTTAAGTTATTGTTTTGTTTTTGAATATAATCAAGACTCATGGACAAAGCATGACACTCTGCTGTAAAAATGCTAGCATTGTTAGGAAGCCTGACACCAATACCTTTTTTTAAGAAATTATCATAAATAGATGAAGATACAGAGTTGGAGTTCTTGGCCCCATCTGTATAGACATGATGATATTCTCTCCACATATTTATTGAATTATAAACATCCTCTTTAAATTTCAGCGAAGGATCTATACAAACTTTCAGATTACAAAATTTTGAATCATATTCATTTTGATAACAAGGCCAGATAGAGGAAGAATACATGTTATTTTGGGTCTGAAGATCTTTGATTACAGATAAATATTTTAGTAAGAACAAAGAATGTGATCTGTTTGTTAGTGTTGATTGATCTTTTAATTTCTTTATAAGGAGATTACTTTTACTGGAAGACATTTTTAGAATAAATCTGGTAGCTAGATATTTGAAACGAAGTGACAATGGAGGAACATTGCATTCTATCTGCATTGAAATTATAGGTGTTGAACACATTGCGCCTGTAATTATTCGTAAGCATTGGTTTTGAATTTTTTCCCGCTTATCCACTAAGTTCTGCGAGTTTGCGAAACAAAGAAAACCATACTCAAAATGACTTCTTACTAGTGACTTGTATAGTGATAAAAGTATTTTAGGATCAGCACCCCAGTATACTCCTGTTAATGCCTTAAGTATATTAGCAGCTTTTAATGCCCGGTTTATTAAGCAATCAACATAATTGTTAAATTTATAATTACTTTGAAATAACACACCTAAAAATCTAACACTATTTACAAATGGCAAGACTTTCCTGTTATAAAAAATATGTATATTTGATGATTGAATGGATTTTTTTGAAAAGATGACAACTTTACTTTTTTCAGGGCTAATACATAAATCAAGACTATCATAATATTGATACAACGCCTGCAATGATGTGTTAAGCTTTGAAACCACAGTTGGGATACTATTACCAGAACAATATACAACCAGATCATCTGCAAATTGGAGATTTTGAACATGAATGCCAAGTATTAAGTTCATTTTATAAATATATAAAATGTAAAGAAGAGGACTCAAAATTCCACCTTGAGAAACACCTTTATAAGAGTATCTTGGTCCATAAAGTTTATTGTTATGCTTCACAAACAATTTCCTGCCATGAAGAAAATTAAATATCCAATTTACTAATTTCTCTGGAAATTGTAAGTTTTTTAAAATAGAAGAGAGTGTATTCAAATTAACATTGTTAAAGGCACCAACAACATCAAAGAAAACAGACACGAGATAAAGATTTTGTGAAAAAGTATTATGGATATCCAAACAAAAATGACTAAGACTTTCCCTAGCAGAACATCCACGCCGAAAACCAAACTGATTAGATGGTAAGATGCTATTATTTTCTATGTAAAATTCCAACCTTTGTTTTATTAATTGTTCAATGATTTTACCAAAGCAGGATGATAGTGTAATTGGTCGAAAAGAATCTACAATAGTGGCATCTTTTCCAGGCTTCAGAATAGGAATAATACAGTCGGTTTTCCATTGCTCAGGGATTATAGATGAAGACCAAAGTGTATTTATTAATTCTAACAATTTCAATAGGTTTGACGTATTTAATAATTTTAACATTTTATAAGAAATCCAGTCTAAGCCAGTAGCTGTATCTTTGCGGGATTTTAAAGCAGCTTTAAGTTCAACTATTGTGAAATCATTGACTAGAAAGCAGTACTTGGGATGGGCAATAATAGAAGTTTGAGAAATTCGCCTGTTATTAACTGTATCTGGTGTATATTTACATAGGAAATTGTGAACTGATTCGTCATTCATAGACTCGGATCTTGCGTATTTTGTATGGAATTTTCGCATTTTAGTCCAGATATAAGTCATAGGAGTAAGTCTTGAAATGGAAGAAGAAAAATTTAACCAGGAGAGCCTTTGCTCATATTTTAAAGTTCTTTTTTTTAAAGCTTGGTTGCGTTTGAAGTTGATAAAATTTTCTTTAGTAGGATTTGATTTAAATTGTATATATGCTTGCTTACATGTGTCTACGGCTTTTGAACATTTATCATTCCACCATACCAAAGGCTTTCTTTTTTTTAAATTTGTTTTTTTTTTGTTATTTATAACATTCTTGTGATAAAAACAATCAATGTTGTTGTTACAAGTATGTTGAACTGTCGATTTTGTTTTATAAGCAATTGATTTGTTTACGCATTCCAAAATAATATTGCAAAAGTTGTTATAGCTTGAAATAGGATCTAAATTATTTATTACAAACTCTGATAGCATTTTATTGGAGTGATTTTGATATAATTTCCAATCCACTAATTTCAGATTGGCGTGAGAAGGGATGTTGGAAAAATCCAATGAAGAATGTGAAACAGAATCTACATAATATTTTGTTAGGGTGGGGAGATGGTAACTGCCTAAGGGAGAAGAAAAAACCTGCCAAACACAATTGAGAGCTAATGATGCAGACACCATTGTCAAATCAAGCGCATTAGGTCTCCAAATGTCTGACCCAACTGTTGTGGGTTGAGAGTCGTTTAGAAGAATTAAATTATTTTGATCTATTATTTCTACAATATCTTTGCCACGAGCATCTGAACGGCTACATCCCCAGGATGTATGTAGTGCATTGAAATCACCAGCTAATATCAATGGTTTTGGGAGAGACTGCAATAAATTATCTAATTTATGTTTTTCTAACCTTGGGGTACAATTCTTGGGGCTATAAAAGCTAACAAATGTAATAGCTTTGTTGTTAATTAGTAGTTGCACAGCAATGTTTTGTATTGAGTCATCATAACATGTGTCAATTTTTTTATGAATTAAACTTTGGTGAATAATTATAGCTACTCCATTGTGATCATTACCACAATCATTCCTTAAAACATGATAATCTTTTATAGCAAATTTGTGATGGGGTCTTAGCCATGTTTCAGATATTAATGCTATGTGTATAAAATTATCATAAAGAAACTTTTTAAATTCCTGTTGATTGCTTAACAAACTTTGCGCATTCCACTGTAATATATTTAAGTGTTGAGTGAATTTGAAGGATTTTTATTTTTATGCTGTACAGTTTCTTTTAAATAATTAGTTATGTTTTGTGAATTTATTTTAATATTCTCAGTTTTATTTAATGTTATTATTTTAGTTAGGGTTTCTGTTAGTAAGCTAAGTGCTTGCTCATTAGACAAAATCATATTTATTAATTTCTGACTATCCTCAACTTTATTTAATCTCGGAAATTGTACATTATTGTTGAATAAATTTGAGAATGCAGTTTGGCTATACTTATTTTGGTTTTCCTGTATTTTTTTCCTTTTAATAGGGCATTGTGCTGAAATTGAAATATGATTTCCTGAACAGTGGACACAGACAGCTTTATCAGTTGGTGTGGAACAGTCTTTGTAGCAATGATCTAACGAGCAGATGGAACACCTCTGATTGTTATGGCAATATTTGGCAAGATGCCCAAATCTTAGACATTTAAAACATTGCTTGATAGGTGGAATGTATGGTCGAACCGGGATTCGCCACATTTTTATTAAAACATGGTCTGGCAAAGAAGTGGATGTTGCAAAAGTAATTGCAACAGACTGAGTCGGAACCAATTGGAGTTTGTTGTCGATTTTGGATTTACGCATTATGCGTCTTACGCAGATAATTTTTTTGGAGCTAGAAATAGCCTTGAAAATTTTTTTATTTGACATATCAATTGGGACGGAATTAATAACTCCAGTTAATTCTGTACTCGCTGCGGGGATGGTGGCTTTTAAATTTTGCTCCTTAAGAAATGTGAAGTTATCTAAGAATGCGTTTGCGAAATTCGGCCGGTCGAACACTACACCAACTTTAAATTTATTAATTTTTTTTAAATACTTTGTACCCTTGATAAATCTTGTAAAACAACTACTAAGATACATGATGTTTCTTGAGCCTAGTGGAGTTTCATTGGAACTTTCAATGAAGACGATAAACTCACTGCCATTTGGACTGTCTTCCGGGTATCTTCTACTATAGTCGTTCACCATGTACGTTTTGTATTTGTTGACCTCGTCGTCGACGTCTGGCGACATGTATTCGGAGTCGCTGGTGTCTGATTCTACTAGCGTAGGTGTGCCAGCAGCGTCTGCTTTTTTCCTCTTCTTCGGCATTTTGAATGGAGTCAAAAGAGATGAAAAACTCACCAGAAGATTGTTGCAATGGAATAATTAAATAACTATATATACAAACTTGCAATAAATATACAATATAATACAAATTTAATCCTATTTATCAGGAAAATTATACAATATCGTCAAATAATAAAAAGGGCGCCTGTTATCTACAAGTGCTCCCGCGCTTTTTTTTCAATCCACAGACTAGTTAGAGATACTATATAAATCCGTTACCATAGACACAGACCATTAAGAGAACAAACCATAGATGACCTAAATAAAACGAACGGAGTGATTTCTGAGGCGACCACAGGGCTCCGTTCAGAACCTACGCTCCAGGTACAGCCAATGCTAATTTTAACTGCTCCATATCCATACATCTTAGGTCAAAATTTAAACGTCATCATTTCGGAACTTCACATGACTATTCCTATTTGCTATTTGTCATTTTGACAGCAGCTTGCCCTTGTTATACTCCATAAGGAGTGAAAAGGAGACACAGGTAGCTTTCCAATTACAGCATTTACGTTGAGTGTTTCAACTACAGCAACGCTTCGCACAATCTAGCACTCTCAAAAGTAATGCTTTCGTGTGATGCGTGCAATCGTACCAACTCAGAGGCAGAAAATTAACAAGTGTTTTTTCTTTAAGTTGGCATTGATCGAAATGTTTTATTTTTATGTTATCGTTAGTAATATTATTTATTGTTGAAAAAGTATTAAAACTTTCGTTTCATTATAGTTTTTTTTTAAATAATCAAAGTTTATTCAAACTGTGTTAATAAATTAAATATAAATATAGATGAAGGTACAAACATTGACTTTTTTTTTCAACACTGAACTTAGCGCACTCGGCTGGTGCATTTGAAAACTAATTCACGTTCCAATTAAGCATCAGCATAATTCGGCATTGTGCTCCACTGAGTCGCATTATGCTCTGTAATTGGAAAACCACCACTGCTGTCAAGTTAACAAATAGCCATGTGATGTGCCGACATTAGGCAAAAAAAAGACTTGCTTGGTTGGCCATACCATTAAAGGCAGAAACTTATTTACGTGTCGTGGCGTATCGTAACGCGCCGCAAGACAATCAAATATGTTTCTGCCCAACACAAGTCTCTCCGCTCCAAGTGCAACTTTTATTTTCACTTGAGTTTTCCACTCTAACGTTTCTTTGTGTTTTGTCCATTTAAATTGCACGTAGGCTTGAAGTTTGTGATGTGATGAGATGAGTCGCATATCATGCCGGCACTTTACTTGCTATTCGTATTTAGTTTTAGTAAACTCGTTACCAGTCTGTCCCTATCTATCATGCTTTAAAAGGAATAAAAAGGACAGACTGATGTCGTTTACAAACAGCTAACACGATTAGCTGAGTGAAGTGCCAGCATAACACACTTTATCTATGATTTATGTTCATTCATTCAATCTTATTAATCTGTGTTCTTACGCTTACTTTCTGTGTCTGTGGGTAAGGTTATGTTGACTAGGTAGCGGGTTTAGATTTATTTTTACAGCATTTTTTATAATTGATTCCAATAGGGTCAATAATAAAAGAGGTATTGATAGACATGCCTCTACTAGATGGAAAAGAAATTGAAATCTTCTTCGTAAGTACACACAGTATTAGATAATTCAGTATTGCTGTGGTCTAGGTACAATGGTTCAGTGAAGTCATTTCAGTTATTTAATCCATTAATTATTGTCTGTTTAGGACATGCTCTTGTAGTACCTAGTTATTTTATATTAGTGCGCAGAAAACTTATTGACTTTTTATTCGAGATTTGTTACAAGTGTATTGTCAATTGACACAAAAATATTAACATATTTGTAGCTTAGGGGCATATTTTTCAATTTACAGTCAGACTTTGTCTGTACCCAAGCAAAGAAATAACATCCTGAACCTCAAATATATCGTACATAGATTCTTTACTTCAGGGATTGAAAAATCAAGATTAATGGTTATATTTTTATTTGTTTTAGAGTGAAGAAGATTTGCCATATGAAGAAGAAATATTGAGAAATCCATTTTCAGTTAAACACTGGCTAAGGTACATTGAACATAAAAAAGGTGCTCCTAAACAGCAAATTAATTTAATTTATGAGAGAGCTCTCAAAGAATTGCCTGGATCTTTTAAATTATGGTACAACTATTTAAAAATACGAAGAAGTCAAACAAGGGGAAGGTGCATAACTGATCCTTGTTATGAAGAAGTAAATAATTGTTTTGAAAGGTCGTTAGTTTTCATGCATAAAATGCCTAGAATATGGATGGATTACTGTAACTTTTTAACAGATCAGTATAAAATTACATCAACTAGAAGAGCTTTTGATTGTGCTCTAAGGGCTCTACCAATTACTCAACACCATAGAATATGGCCCTTCTATTTGAATTTCTTAAAAAAACACAACATCCCAGAAACAGCTATAAGAGTTTTTCGGAGATACTTGAAACTGTGTCCTGAGGATACAGAAGAATATATTGATTACTTAATATCAATTAATAAGTTGGATGAAGCAGCCTTGAAATTAGCACATATTGTAAATAATGAAAATTTCCAATCTAAACATGGCAAATCAAACCATCAGCTTTGGAATGAATTATGTGAGTTGATATCTAAAAACCCAGATAAGATACACTCTTTAAATGTGGATGCTATAATCAGAGGTGGCTTAAGACGATATACTGACCAATTAGGCCATCTATGGAACTCACTTGCAGACTATTATGTGAGAAGTGGTCTTTTTGAGAGAGCAAGAGATATATATGAAGAATCAATACAAACTGTTACCACAGTTAGAGACTTCACACAGGTTTTTGATGCATATGCACAATTTGAAGAACTTAGTTTAAGTAAAAAAATGGAAGAAGTGGCTAAAAAATGTAATCCTACAGAAGATGATGATATAGATTTAGAATTGAGGCTTGCAAGATTTGAATATCTTATGGAAAGAAGACTTCTTCTTCTAAATTCAGTTCTCTTGAGACAAAATCCTCATAATGTAGCAGAATGGCATAAAAGAGTTAAGCTATATGAAGGGAAACCACATGAAATCATAGATACATATACTGAAGCTGTTCAGACTGTAGATCCTAAATTAGCTGTAGGAAAATTATACACTCTTTGGGTTGGGTTTGCAAAGTTTTATGAAAAAAATGATCAAATAGAAGATGCAAGACTAATTTTTGAAAAAGCTACTCAAGTGAATTATGCAAAAGTAGATGACCTAGCATCCGTTTGGTGTGAGTGGGCAGAAATGGAAATCAGACATGAGAATTATGAGGAAGCACTCAAATTAATGCATAAGGCTACAGTTCTTCCTAGTCGAAAAGTAGCATATCATGATGATGCTGAAACTGTCCAAATGCGCTTATATAAATCACTAAAAGTTTGGTCTATGTATGCAGATTTAGAAGAAAGTTTTGGTACTTATAAATCTTGCAAAGCTGTTTATGATCATATCATTGATTTGAAAATAGCTACACCGCAAATAATTATTAATTATGGTTTATTTTTGGAAGAGCACAATTATTTTGAGGAAGCATTTAGGGCATATGAAAAAGGAATTGCTCTATTTAAATGGCCTAATGTTTATGATATCTGGAATACATATTTGACAAAATTTTTAAAACGGTATGGAGGAAACAAACTTGAAAGGGCAAGAGATCTTTTTGAGCAATGTCTAGAAAATTGCCCTCCTGAATTTGCAAAATCCATTTACTTGCTATATGCCAAACTAGAGGAAGAACATGGATTAGCCAGACATGCAATGTCAGTTTATGAACGAGCAACAACTGCTGTTCTACCTGAGCAGATGTTTGAAATGTTTAACATTTATATTAAAAAAGCTGCTGAAATTTATGGTGTACCGAAAACGCGCCAAATATATGAAAAAGCAATAGAAACATTACCTGAGGAAAAAGCAAGAAAGATGTGTATTAGATTTGCAGAGATGGAGACCCGTTTGGGTGAAATTGACAGAGCACGTGCTATTTATGCACATTGTAGCCAGATGTGTGATCCAAGAATTACTGCAGAGTTTTGGAACACATGGAAAGAATTTGAAGTAAGGCATGGCAATGAAGACACAATGCGTGAAATGCTTAGAATCAAGAGAAGTGTACAGGCTACTTATAATACTCAAGTGAATATGATGTCAGCACAAATGTTAAGTTCTGCTGCCCAGGCAGCTGGTACTGTTTCGGATCTTGCACCAGGAATGAAAGACGGTATGCGTATGTTAGAAGCTAAGGCAGCAGAAATGGCTGTACAAAGTAAAGGTAATATTATGTTTGTACGAGGTGAAACTCAAGGTTTGAAAGAGAGCACAGAAAAGGTAGTTAATCCTGATGAAATTAATATTGATGAAGAATCTGAACACAGTGATGATGAAGATGGAGAAGTTGCTCCTCTGCAAAAGAAAGATATCCCAGCTGCTGTGTTTGGTGGTCTTATTCCAGAGACAAAGTAAAATTTCAATAATACTGTTGAATAATATATCAACTTTTATTGACAAGGTTACTTATTACACAATCCTATAAATACAAGCCAGATCAATATTTACAATAATGAATCACATTCTTTTAGTTAATTAGATACAGAACTTGTATAAATTAATTAAAACCCTAATTATCAACAAGAATTTATACATTGCAAGAATCATCAACAAATTATCAGTTTAGGAAGAGACATTAAAAAATCTATTGTGTTAAAAAGTGGGCAATATGTTATTTTTATCAGGTTAATTAGCTAGTTGGATAACCAGATGAATTCATATAATATCTCTAGGAGGAGTGATAAAATGTAATGAATTAGAATACATACTTTGTTGTTCAGAGTAATTTAAAATGCTTATATCATTATGAACTCCTCCAAACATAATTAATTCTCCATTTCCTTTAACCAATGAATACATAACTAATTCTTCAGGTGCTCCTCTCATTTCTCCCAATCTGGGGCATAGCCAAGACACATAATTTAATGAATTTCCACCTGTAATACTGGAAATATCTAATACATGCATTGCCAGGGTATTTTTTTTTATTTTTTTTACTTCTGGTTGTCTCATCTGCTGGTTATCAGGTGGTTCAGGTTCTCTTCGATTTTCGAAATGATCAATTTGTCTTTGAAATATGAGACCATTTGGTAGATAGCCATCTGGAGGGGTGTCACATGCAAATGCTGCCATTCGGTATCGGTTACCTTCTTGTAACTGACGAACTATCTTTATCTAGAAAAAAGTAATCAGTTTCAACTTATAAATCAGTATCATAAACATTTTGCAAATATAAAAATTACAATATATAACTACCTACCTTTTTATGTTGCCTTCTGTCTAATTTTCCCAAATCAAGTCTACTTGTAGATTGATTTGATTCAGAACTAGGACCAGCAAAATGATAACTATTTAATGTATTTTCTTTTGAAGCAATGACGTTTGGAGTTCCTTTTTTATCACAACTAGGACCTGCTACTGGTTCATTACTTGGATTTTCTTGAGCCCGTCTTGCAGAATTTGAAGGTGGCTGTCTAGGTAGTACTCCTCTTTTTCCATTTATATTTTGATCTCTATCTATAGGTCTCTGAAGGCTCTGTTGAACTCTTACTGCCACCGGAGCACCTTCTGGCCTACTAAGAGCTGATAATCTAACTGCAGAAGTGACTAATGGTTTAGCACAATGCCATCCATTCCTGCTTCTACTCAGACTCACGACTTTGTCACCTACTCTGCATGCGGGATTGCACCAAATGTTGGCTGCAGCCCATTCTTTATTTTTTACAGCGAGTTCTTTCCATGTCCAAGTGGGACCTTTCATGGTTAACATCCAACAATCACTATATACAAAGCGATTACGTAAAGTTTGTACACCACCTAATAACAGTACTCTGTCAGAATCCAAATCTAAGAGAGACTGAGCATACCTAGGTGATGGTCTTGGTTTTGTAGTTGCTTGTTTCCTCCAGGACACATTAGGTATGTCTAAGACCCACACATCATTAGAACATTGTATTTGATAATTCTGAGCAGCAGGCATAACTAATCCACCAAAAACAACCATTTCATCACCTTTAATACATGCAGAATGGCCTGCCATAGGAGGTGGAGGGTTGTTTGTATTGACCAACATCCATTTATTAGTGTTCACACAATAGAAGTGAATTTCATTAAACATAGTCACAGTTTGATAATATTGTGATAGTGAAGGATATGTCCACCCACCAAATACAATTAAATATTCTTTGTAATTAACCATAGAGGTGTAAGCTTTCGGTACTGGATATGTTCCAGTGGCTAAAGGTCTTATCCATTGTCGAGTAGACAAATCAAAGCGCCAAAGGTCATTGAACGAAGTTGCATTAGTTGTGCATCCTCCAAATATATACATATTGTTTTCTAGAATACAAGCTGCATGTGAGAATCTTTTAGTTATAGTTGGTGTCATATCTACTGGTGCTATATTTTTCCATAAGATATTGAATTCTGCCACAGCTTTTACCAATTTGAGTGAGGTTTTACGTAAAACATCTGTAAATTATAAAAATACCAAAATTAATAAAAAAATATGAAAATATCTAATGTAAGAAATATGTGATAATACTTACTTTGACCACAATTGTACCACCTTTTACACACCGTCATACAATTTTCTAAATCTTTATAAGGGGGTAAAAATCCTAAAATAAACTCCAAAACTTCATCTGGAAGAGCCTCCACTGTAGTTTGCAATGTTTGCTGCCGTAAAGATTGATGAATTACATCCATTTTGATTAAAGAAATATTTAAAGTACCATGAGATTTCCTTAATTATCATGTTGCATGGTGAACTAACTATTAAATTTATTGTTTTATTTATTTCTTCGTATTATTTATCGTGTATGCATTCATTTCTTTCAAATTATTCCACAGACTGCACAGCACAGCTAATGACACTATGGACTGAACATGCCAGTGTTGCCAGTACCTGCGTCGTGTTTCGGACGAAATCTGAAAAGGGACGGTTTTTAGTCAAAAAAGACGGCCCTACAGAAATATTAAACTAAAGGCTGAACTATATTTATCTTACGTGTTGTATTGTGGCGCAATCTGCTTAATACAATTAGTACGGTTAGCACTGAGAACTATACCTGTGTGTCGCGATGTTTCGACAGCGTTCTCACTTTAACCATAATTGTATGAAAGAGATAGCTCTTTGATGTGTTACAACATAACACGACAGGTAAGTGTAGTTCTATCATAATGCGGTTAAATGAAAAAAAAAAGCGAGTGTGTTTAGGAACACACGACTGAAGTGAAACTTCTATAGCTCCAATAATCTGAAATTTGATAGAAAAAACCATCAATCCGCGCTGAGTCCATTATCACACACCAATCCGCATTGGGTCCATTGCCATCGACTAATCCGCGCTGTGTCCGTTATCACCCTCCTATCCGCACTGGGTCCATTATCAGCAACTCATCCGCGCTGGGTCCATTATCACCCACCAACCCGCACTGGGTCCGTTATCATCCACCAATCCGCACTGGGTCCGTTATTATACACCAATCCACACTGAATCCGTTGTTACCCACCAATCCGCGCTGGGTCCAGTGTCACCCACCTGTCCACACTGGGTCTGTTATCATCCACCAATCCGCGCTGGGTCCTTTATCACCCACCAATCCACGCTGGGTCCGTTATCATCCACCATTCCGCACTGGGTCCGTTATCACTAGTGTTGCCAGGTCCGATTTGTTTTAAGTCGGTACGTGTGGTCAAAAAAATCGGGACAGGGTTGTAGATCGGGACAGTTAACAAAAAACGAGGGGTTTTATAGGTCTGGGTTTAATTTATTGCGATTTAAACTACTAGTGCAAGTATAGTATTATATTAATTACTTAACTTTAATTTTTTGATTAATCGGGATATTTATACAAATCGGGACGCGTCCCCACACCCCTGAAAATTGAGACATCCCGCTCAAATCGGGACACCTGGCACCAATCTGCGCTGGGTCCGTTATCATCGAACAATCCGCGCTGGGTCCGTTATTACCCACCAAGCCAAGCACTAGATTACAGGTATTGTTCAATGTTTACCGATGAGTCACCGATGACACTAATCGTAACACGAAATCGTAACCCCCCAAGTCAAGACGTGCCTAAAGAAGTTTCACTTCAGAAAACATTTTAACAGAGCCATATTAATTATATTTTTTTGGGCACACAATAAACATAATGAAGATGGTACGGAGGTCATAGGTACATCATAGTGGTACGAACGTACGACTCTACAAAGCAAGCACTTATTCTTAAGTTACCTATTATCTTCATAACTGAAACATACCTCAACAACAAAAGTTTTATTAGGTAAGGTATGGTAGGTTATTGGGTTTGAGCTTTGAGTTGGTATATAGATTTCGTAGCGAGCATTGGATTCGATGTAGTTTACTGGGTCATTTGACGAATAGAGTTGACAATCAACGAATAGTGATGGTAATTTAGTGAAATAAATCAATGAGTGAAACGAAACGCATTCGTCTAATGTTGCAGTGAAGCGTTATCGAAAAAGGGACGGAATATGTAAAAGGTCATCGATGGGACGCTTTGATGAGAAAAGGGACGAAAATCGTCCCTTTTGGGACGTTCTGGCATCACTGGGACATGCGCTAGCATCACTATATAGTTTGTGGGGTGGACTATCTCACAGATTACAGAGAGATATACGTTCCAGGACTACAAATCGAAACAATAACTTTGCAGTCAATAATTTGATGACAATCAAACACCAGAAAAACTTGATCTGGCATACCAAATCTATAGAAGCTTCTATTCTACCAAAAGTATTTGCTTAAACGAATGAACTTAATTCGAGATTTTTCATCCAACGCATACGCGCTGTTTATAAAATTTAAACATACTGCAAATTTTTTTCATCCTTCGCATAGATACGAGCTGTTTCTTAAAATCTATCTAAAAAAAATTAAACACGAAATTTATATAATCGATTTATATTTTACCATCCCTAGCGGGCGAATCCCTCCGCCAAAGTACACGGCCATCGGGCCTTGCGACATATAAAACTAGCTCGAGTGCAACCTCTACCATTTTGGATCGTTCCGTAGCGCAAGTCGGAGCTCCCACAAAAATGGAAAATTTTGTTGTTTTCCTATCATAAACAAGTATTTTTAAGTTCTAAAAAGTTGGTATTCTGGTATAACATTCAATTAAAAGAAAAGGCGCGAAATGACGAATGTATGGCAAAAATAATAGGTAGAAATTCATAGTGATGTGACGAAAAATTAATGAATGGTATTTTTAATACAGGGAAACATTCAATCCGATTTAATTAAGTGCATCTGCCGATACACTTTATATCGATGCAGCTAAATAGTGTGAAGAGACCACATCTCTACAATATTGTCTATTGCCTTTTGGTTGTTGCTATAGCTACTTACTTGTTATCATTCTGTGTCACTTATCAAAATATTCTTTTTACATAAACTTATTGTGCTAACTAATATTAAATAAAAATACGTCTTTACTTTGCATACATCTTTATTTAAATCAACATTTATAAAACTTAAAATGGTAGCAGACAAGAAAAAGATCTAATATTTTTTGAGGTTAAGTGTTAAACTCGCGCAACAACGACGATGCCGAAAACGCCTAATCACATCGAACCTTTGGATAAAGATAATTATGATACCTGGGCGATACAAGCTGAAGCTGTGCTAGTCAGAAACAAACTTTGGAAGTATGTAACTAACGCACTACCTCCAACTGCAAGTAGCGATGAACTTGACGGCGACAGGGAGGCTAAGTCAGAACTTATTCTACCAATTGCACCCTCACAGCTAAAGAGCTTTCGCCGACGTGCATCAAGAAATGCACGTCGGCGAAAGCTCTTTGGGATAAACTAAAAGAAATACATGCAAGTAAAGGCCCTGCGAGAAAAGCTACTCTTCTTAAACGGTTAATACTTACTAAACTTGAAGACAGCAATGTTCGTGAGCACTTGAACAAGTTTATGGACACAGTAGACAAACTAGCAGATATGGATGTAGATATCACCTCGCTATCCTGATGCTGTATAGTCTTTCCTCTGATTATGAAAACTTTCGTGTAGCCATGGAGTCACGTGACGTTCTACCGAAACCTGAGGAACTTAAAATTAAAATTATAGAAGAAAGTGACGCTCGACACCGTGACGTCGAAATCAGCCCGCCACCCCACGAAGAAGAAAACGCACTCTACGCATCTTGCAAAATCTGTAAGAAATCGGGACGCAACATCTTTCAGAAGAAGACGCACAAGATTTGTTCTAACTGCTGGACGAAAAATAAGCGCACTGATCCCATACCTAAAAACTCTTACTCTTCCTACGCCTTAGAGTGCTTCTTCACTACAAATGAAAACAACAAGAATGATTGGGTACTTGACAGCGGCTGTACCTCTCACATGACGTTTCAACACGATTACTTCAAAAACTTAACTACAGTTTCAAGAAAACTCAACTTTGCTTCAGAACAGCACTCTACTGAAATTAAAGGTCAAGCCAGAGTAACACTGAAAACCAAGTATAGAACGATTAATTTGGAAAGTACTCTGTATGTACCATCACTTTGCAAAAAATTACTTTCAGTGCCAAAGATGACAGAACATGGAGCTTCTGTAACTTTTGAAAAGGAGAAAGCGTTCGTACGCAACAAGACAGGAGATCTCGTTATGATTGCAGACAAATGCCAAAATAGCGGACTTTACTATGTCTAACTAATTTTGACAAAACAGAGTCAATATCCGACTGCGAAATATGCATACAAGCAAAAATGACGCGCATACCAAGTCCTCCACAAAGAACAACTCCTCGAACAACTGAACGTCTGGAGATTGTTCACAGTGACGTTTGCGGCCCTATTACTCCTTCCAAGGGAAAGAATAGCTATTTCGTCACGTTTATAGACGATTACAGCCGATATGGGCGCGTATACTTCATGAAAAACAAATCGGAAGTCCTAGAACATTTCAAAACTTACAAACGCGAAATGGAAACATTTACTGGAAATAAGATCAAGCACCTACAAACGGATAACGGCTCTGAATACATTAACAACACATGTCAAGCCTATCTAGACAAGAATGGGATAGCAAGACGTCTATCTGCACCGTACACCCCACACCAAAACGGAATCGCGGAACGCAAAAATCGCACACTTCTAGAAAAGGCAAGAGCAATGCTGATTGGCGCCAATGCACCTATGTTTCTATGGGGAGAAGCCATCAATACGGCAAACTATCTAGCCAACAGAAGCATAAACAGTGCTATAGAAAACAGAACGCCATTTGAGAAATGGGTCCTGAGGAAACCATGCGCCAACCATCTCCATATTTTCGGAACCAAAGCATTTATACTTCTAAAAGGCCCCCGTAGAGGTCCTAAATTTGCACCTAGAGCAATTCCAGGCGTTTTTGTTGGATACTCGGAAACCAGCAAAGCCTACAATGTGTATGTGCCTAACAAACGCAAGATTTTGATTTCCAAAGATGTAAGAATTGTCCAGTCCAACTTCTACTCAAATTCCGACAATCTTACTCAACTGGTTTTGACTACTCCAAAAATTGAACTGAATGTTGAAAACATCCTTGATAAACCGTCACAACACTGATCATAATAATGAACCCGAATCATTCGAAAATGTTATCGAATATGAAATTCCACCTGAACCTGAGCTGAGACATAATTTAAGAGTCAGATCGGCAATTACACGACCACAACGGTATGATGACTTTGTACTGGAAGCTATAGCTGATGTCAAAACTTATAAACAAGCCATGGAATCTCCTTACAAAGACAAGGAACTATCTCAATCTCGTCGGCAGAGGAAGAAATAATGGCCGCCAGTGAAACCGCACAAGAAATACTGTGGCTGAATACCCTATTTAA